TCATGGTCGCAAGCTGAGCGAATGAGAGTGAGGGTGATGAATGATCGTTATGGATGTGAAAGTTGGATGGTGGTTCGGTGAGACAATAAGAAGAGATGTGTCGAGTGAAACTTGCATGTTCAACATTCGAAGCAAGTCGGAAACAAGTATGTTGATTTGTGGTGGATTGATTATTTGTAAAGTAGAGATTAATTTGTGGTAAGGTGAGGATGCAATGAACAAAAATAGAGTAGAAGATATATTTTGTGTGCAACATTGTGTGCGTATAGAATAAAATGAGTGGATGTTCCTTGACGGTAATTGAAAAGAAACAGCTTTGTGCAAATAGAATAATTTACTCCGTTTTGAGAGAGAGATAAAGCCTTGTTTCGGACGTCAAAAGTGTGAAAATTTTAAGCAGCTGTATTGTTTTATTTAACATTAACATACATAGATTTTGTAAAATGCGCAGAGCAGTTTTATAATATAAATGTGCTTATAACTACTCCGTTATATAGTCACTTTCATAAAAATATCAAATTCTTTCCGTTCAGAGGAAATCTGGCTTTTTGCATTCCAGCGCGTTTAATGTTAAGAATAAATTTACCTATTTCATTATTTTCAAATGCAAATACAAACAATCCACTGACTTTAGAATTGCACCTACGTATAACTTATTTCACTTCGCTTTCAGTTTTCGCGAATAGAACGTTATGTAGCTTTTCATGAAGACAAACATGTTATAATAGTTCTGTGTACTGAGTTTATTTCAATAAAAAGCAATACAAATATAATCACTATGTTCAAAATCAAATAAAATACCATGTCACAGGAACACGTCCGTTGATCGGATCACCAATTTTATTAAACGCTGGTCGACTTAAATCAAGATCAACCTATTGAACAGACAAAAATCAGCTGGTTGATATAGTTTTTTTTGCAAACAGATTCACTTACATCCTTGCAACTTCCACATCGATCAACAACTGTTACAATAACAGTACCCTTAGGACCTGTCACTGAGATCTGTTTTTGACAGAATTTATTGTTATTCGGATTGCCATCAATCGTCTGAGTGTCATAGAGCGAATCAGCAATGGCACAAACGAGCTCGTCGCCATTGCTCAAAAAGCCGCAAGCACCCCTACTAGCTAAAATGTGTTTAAACAATGAATCAGGTATATTCTCTCCATCAATAGTTGTGCCTACGATCGTAGTATGTTGCATTGCCGGAATATTTCTTGACATCGGATAATTGATGTTGTACGGGAGGACGAGCGTCAATGAAACCAGAAAGAACGACGAAAATGCTGATGAATACAGTAAGAAAAAGGCGAGCCATGTTGATGATAATGTATAGCTCTTCTTAGCATTGTGTCTCATATATATATCGAACACCAAAGTCGAATAGAAACGTACGGATGAATCTATGCATCAGAAGAAAAATATGAATTCATGAAATTGGCCAACCTACATATCGACGTCAACTCATGGTTTTGTTNTCGGAAACAAGTATGTTGATTTCCGGTGGATTGATTATTTGTAAAGTAGAGATTGATTTGTGGTAAGGCGAGGATGCAATGAACAAAAATAGAATAGAATATATATTTCATGGGCAACATTGTGTGCGCATCGATTAAAATGAGTGGATTTTCCTTGACGGCAACTGAAAAAGAACAGCTTTTTGCAAAAAGAAGAATTTGTTCCGTTTTGAGAGAGAGAAAGATGAAGTCTCGTTTCAGACGGCAAGAGTGTGAAAATTTGAAGCAGCTGTATTGTTTTATTTAATATTAACAGATGTAGATTCTGTAAACTGCGCAGAGCAGTTTTAGGATATAAATGTGCGTATAACTATTCCGTTATATAATCACTTTCATAAAAATATCAAATTCTTTCCGTTTAGAAGCAATCTGGCTTTTGCATTCTAGCGCGTTCAGTGTTAACAGTAAGTTTATTTATTTCATTATTTTCAAATACAAATACAAACGATCGGCTGACTTTAGAATTGCGTCTACGTATAAGTTATTTCATTTTTCTTCCAGTGTTCACGAATGGAATGTTAGGTAGCTTTTTGTGAAGACAAATATTTTATAATTTTTCTATGCACTGAGTTTATTTAAACAAAAAGCAATACAAATATAATCATTATGTTCATAATTAAATAAAATTCCATGTTACAGGAACACGTCCATTGATCGAATCGCCGATTTTATTAAATGCTGGTCGACTTAAATCAAGATCACCCTATAGAACAGACAAAAATCAACTGGTTGATATAGTTTTTCGCAAGCGGATTCACTTACATCCTTGCAACTTCCACATCGGTCGACAACTGTCACGATAGCAGTACCCTTAGGACCTGTCACTGAGATCTGTTTCCGACAGAATTTATTGTTATTCGGGTTGCCATCAATCGTCTGAGTGTCATAGAGCGAATCAGCAATGGCACAAACGAGCTCGTCACCATTGCTCAAAAAGCCGCAAGCGCCGATACTAGCTAAAATGTGTTTAAACAATGAATCAGGTATATTCTCTTCATCAATAGTTATGCTTACGATCGTAGTATGTTGCATTGCCGGAGTAGTTCTTGACATCGGATAATTGATGTTGTACAGGGGGACGAGCATCAATGAAACCAGAAAGAACGACGAAAATGCTGATGAATACAGTAAGAAAAAGGCGAGCCATGTTGATGATAATGTATAGCTCTTCTTAGCATTGTGTCTCATATATATATCGAACACCAAAGTCGAATAGAAACGTACGGATGAATCTATGCATCAGAAGAAAAATATGAATTCATGAAATTGGCCAACCTACATATCGACGTCAACTCATGGTTTTGTTGCGTCAGTGAAACGAACAAAGAAAGGATGACGTTGAGGATCACAGGGCGTAACTAAAGAATCAACATGTAATAACAAGGAATGACGATGTAACGTCGTGAAGGACGTAAGTGATACAGTGAAAAAACAGATTACTCATGATGATATGTTTTCCATATTTCGCAATACTGTACGCGTTTGCGATATACTCAACATACATCAGTGTTAATCTTGTCAGTGCGAATCGATGGGTTGGTTTGTTATTTTATTGGATGGAACATATATATGCGCTTATTACAGAAAAACGCGATAAAACATAGTAGGATGTCATTGTGATAGTGGAGAAATACTATTTAATCGCTTACGAAAAAACTTTTTACATTCTTTTGTGTAAAACTCAGATGGTAAAACGAATATCAGAAAAGTGATCATTGTTGGAATAAATGAAAGAAAATATCCACTCAAAAATAACCAAGAATCCTTTGCCGAGTTCATGCATATTTTACTATACGAAAGAACCAAACGTGGTAAGGCAAGAAGGAAGAGAACCACAGGTGCAATCAATAAACGTTGATGACCGACGATTTGTTTCCCAAACACAGCTTTCGAATTTTGATCTTTGTTAAAGCGAACTTTCTGTTGAGTCTTTTTCGCTATGAGAATAAGTGAAGAAATGAAATTTATAAGAAACGGAACGAAAAAATTCAATGTGTTCACCACCCGATCGTAAGTTTCTACAGTTGGAGAACATTCGACGATGCACGAGATCCGAATTTTACCATCATCGTAATCGTTCTTCTCTTCGAATATACGTCGATGAATCGGATCGTGAATGGACGTTGAAATAATTAAGATAAACACCACCACAACAAGTCTTTTCGCTAACTGTTTACTTTTTGCCTTCATAAATGCAGCACCTTGAATAGCTGTCATCGCTCTCTCCATCGACACACATGCATCCAACCATTGGTCCATGTTCACACATATACGAAGAACGAAATCTAATGAATGACACTGAGCTTCTAACAATACTCGGTTCTGCCATGTTGATATCTGAGTCGAAAGATACACAAAATACTTCATTCCAAACAATGTCATTGTCAACAGAGTTGTGATCGATGAGCCCAACAGATNTCATGGTCGCAAGCTGAGCGAATGAGAGTGAGGGTGATGAATGATCGTTATGGATGTGAAAGTTGGATGGTGGTTCGGTGAGACAATAAGAAGAGATGTGTCGAGTGAAACTTGCATGTTCGACATTCGAAGCAAGTCGGAAACAAGTATGTTGATTTGTGGTGGATTGATTATTTGTAAAGTAGAGATTAATTTGTGGTAAGGTGAGGATGCAATGAACAAAAATAGAGTAGAAAATATATTTCATGAGCAACATTTCTTTTTCAAAGTAGAATCAAGTATGTATTGTTTAGTTGAGTGGAATATAAAGAGATAAATCTGTTGTGTTCTCAGAAAGAGAAAATCTCGTTGTTAACGTCAAGAAAGCGAATGTTTTATAAGAAGTGCATTGCATTATTCAACGTCAACAGGCCTACTTTTCTTGTGAAAACACGTACACAAATATTAAATTGAGGCGACCAAATCAAGTTCGAATTTTCTGAGTACTTTTTTAATAGCATACAAATAGTTAATTAATATTAGTTCTTCTTTCTCAGATGTTCATTTATATCTCCGATGGATTTGCTGTCAAAACACGTCGAGTGAAGAAATTATTTCTTTTGCTTTCAGGTATAAAATACACGTACGGTCTCATTATGAACGTTGCTTCGGGGTTTTGTCAGCCAGTGCAGTAAACTTTTAAAACTATTAAAAATGTATCTGAGTACAAATCACTATTCGTTGTTGCGGATCTTAATTGATGCAAACAGCTAAATGGTCATTGGTAATGAAGTATGCGAATGTGTCATCAGTGATATTACTTGACATAAAATTGTCGTTCCAATTCACCTTATATGAATTTGATAAACTTGATCACATAGACTATATATTGATTGTAACGAAGTTATCAATTCTCTGAAAAGCACTGCGTACCATGTGGGCACATCAATGATGAATGCTTCTATGAATGTGATATAATATATGAATATTTTGCATATATTATCATTAGTGATGAGTTTTTATGAGCACTAATTGAACGGCAATTGAGTTACTCATCAATTTTTCAGTGGAGCTTTTTCGGTCGGAAAGCAAAAGTACATCTGAATGCGTAATGAATCTGACATATTGATTATGTGACGAGAGAGTGAACATTACCATTTAACCTTTAGAGTAGAAACCTGACACAATCGCGATAAGAGTAGCGTAAAGAACTGGTTGACAAAAAAGAGCCTTTTTCATAGGAGCTGAATTATCATCTATCATTCATATTTACGCTCTCTTCTCTTCTTCTGCAAGCTCGACAACTGAATCAGAATTGACAGATAGTATAGCAGAAGTAGTGCAATTGAACACGCTTCAGTGACGAGCGACGTCTACTTACTGACACTCAATAATGTGTCTTTGTAAAAGGATAAACATCTGAAGGAAGCAGAGCACGATCGAAGTTTATTCAATAGATGTTATTGAAACCAAGAGATGCAATAAATAAGAGAAAAAGAGAAGGTTTAATACTTTTCGATCATTGATGCATCTTGTTTGGCATGTTGAACGGCTTTCTCATCTTGTTTTACCGAACACGATGAATCATTGATAGAGGAAATCTTCGAGAGAATGTCACTCGATACTGATCCATTGAATCCAGCTTGACATGATGGTGGGGATTGCTTCTTGATCGAAGATAACAAAGTCAATGGTTTCGGTTGATATTCGGATGGGAAATACCAATTAACGAACATATCTTCAATAGTTGTACAATATAAAAACAAACGAATGTGCGTATAAAAATATCGTGTTCGTTTTTTTTTATAGATTACACTCTCCTACTTGGAACGTGATGTATGGGCGTAGAGGAGAGGAGAGGGGAGAAGGGGAAAACGATGTGAGAGAAAGGATGATATATAAATATGCGGAATGTTACAATCAATGCCCACAAATAATTGTCTATTCATTTGTTAGTTTACATTTTTTTCGTAGTTCGCTTATAAAAGAATGAAAAGATGCGCAATATCAGTAAAACAAACGAAAATTGTTTTGAGTCCATTGATCGAAATGATTCAATATACTAGTGTGCTTTTCTTTTTTTGTTTCTTGTATGTCTTTGAGCGATGCCGCTATTTTCTACTCCTCGACAATGTAATTAAAGAAGCGGGTGTTGCTATGAAGTCGAAATAAATTTAACATGCTTCAAAATGTTGTTTTCTTCCGATGAAAGAACGATGAAAAGTTTTTTGGTGAAAAAATAGAACTCATTATGACATAAAAATGATCGAAATCTTCTTTACATAAAAGATTTCACAAGATATATGATGACATACAAAGTAGTACACGCCTATCGTTCGTCACGACTTATAGCGCTCCACATAGGAATGACTAGAAATGATGTAGTGCAGTGAAATATGCGTTCAGTAGAGAGTATGGTGTTAACTCAGAGAAAGGTAATTCGTTTGTCTCTGCTTTGAGAAAAATTGCTTGTAGCAATACGGTAGATGACATTCGATAAGAAATTGAATATTTTTCCATTAAGAAAATTACCAGCGTTGACATTTTTCATACTCATTATTGTTGGAGAATAGAACTTCCTGACAACATTAACATTTAATCACATAAATGATCAATCCTATAGCGTTTTTTGAAGGTTCAGCTGGGTTCACATATTTTCTTTTCCTGCTTTATTTTGTTTAAGCCGTACCAGTTTTGTGATGGTTAAAGGTTGGTGAGTGAAGAGGGCATAATTAAGAAAAGAACTGATTCTGAATGGAGCAGAGGAAAAAAACTGCAAGTAATATATTTGTAGGAAAACGGGGATAGCGCTCCAAAGTCAGTTATTATAAACCATGATGGCAGACATCGTCGTGACGGAGGGGAAAATGACTGATGCGCGTACTATTTGCAATAGAAATTAAAAAAACACATAGTGAACCCGAGCACTTTTAAAAATATTTTTTCACTTTAGTGTCAATCTAAACGGTAGTTGCGCATTAGAACTAGATGGCTGCGATTAAGTCAAATGAAACAAACTTAGAATTTGAAGCCCAACAGATCAAATGGTATGCAATGATGTTCATTCGATGCTTCTGCTTAATCATGATTCCATTTGGTACTATTGGTCATTTATTAAGTATCTTCATTTTTACTCGTCGAACATTGAGAACGAATCCCTGTGTCATGTACCTATTTGCTGCGACTGTTTCTGGACTTCTTAGCTCGTGTTTCATTCTCCCGATGCGACTAATCCAAGCAGGATACATCGACATCGATCCAGCTGTTCATTCACTCATCT